ACAATGCAGCCCCAATCCCAGCAGGCAATTTTAAGGACTGCTGTAACATAAACGTTTGCTATTTCCTATAACCACCTCATCTGAAGATGAAGTAAGCAGTACACAGACAAAGCTATTTCCAGCTGTTTGGCCCTTCCAAATTGAGCAACTTTTTAGAAGGCCAAGCATAATTTAATTCCCTATCAATGTTTATCTTAGTTTAGGCATTGATATTGCAAAAAAACCTTTTAAAGAAGCTGTTACTCCTTTTGGCTGCTTAGACATGAAAAAATCCAAAACAAAACAGTGCTTTACTTTAAGCTTGGTGCAACCCCAGACCAAGCACAGTGCATGCCCAGAAGAAACAGTGTTAGTTCCACCAGGCACACCTAATGTCTGTATAGATTGCGTGCTTCAGCAGGACTTTTTGGCACTTTTATGCAATAACTGACTGAATCAGCTTTAGATAAAAGCACCAAAAAGTGCCCTGCTGAAACACCCAAACGTATAGAGATGCTGGGGAGCTGGGTCAAACTAACATGCTTCCTCTTCTGGTAAAGCACTGTGTTTTTTTCCTCCCCACATCTGACAGTAGCCTTTCTTTTTAGCTAAACACCTTTCAGTTCATTAACCGCAGGAGTGAATAAATAAGCCATAAATAAGTCCAGAGCTCAAGCTTCCCTTTTAACTCTCCAATCTTTCTATCTTAGAGCACAAAATCTAACCTCTACCTCACATTTTTTATTGCACTAAAAACTATATCCAAGCCTTCTATGTTAATCAAGTACAAACCGAAAGGCAAGAGAAGATAAGTGTCTTTGTTCCTACTTTCTTTTACCCTCAGTAGTATTCAATCAGTACAAAGCACAACACCAATCCATATTTGCTGTCCAATGCTTATATTATAACCAGGGATCCTGGTTTAGTTTAAAAAATGCAAAATTGTCAGATTAAAAACCCCCAAATTTGTGATTAAAATGAAATGCCATATATAGAGATCTCTCTCTCTCTCTAGAATATAATAAAAAACTTACCCCTTCTGTCTGTCTGTCCGTAACACTCTGGGCTAACTGTGCGTGTGCGGCCCAGAGCCTTAGGACAGGCAAACAGACAAACAGGTGGAAGCGGGGGCCAAAGCAGGCAGGACCAGGCTGTGCTCCCCGCTGTAGGAACCAGCCATGCAGGACACCCTGCAGCCACACTGCCCCCTGCACCGGCAGCACCCAAAACACAGGAGAGGCATGGCACATAGCTGTAGGGTGCCATGTGGGGAGCAGACGTGAGGGGCGCTTCCCACCTTGAAGACATGTGCTGCAGCTGGCGGGCGCTCCTCGCATCCTCCTACCCACTTCCCTCAGGGCTGCTTATGCCCGTGCACCAGCCCCCCCATGCCACACCCCCTCTGCGGCCCGCAGGAGGTAGGTGCTCCCTGTGCTGGGGGTGGGGGGAGGCATGGCTACAGGGTACTGGGCAGGGAGCAGGCGTGGGTGCTGCCTGCACCTGGCATGCCCCTTCCCCATGCAGTACCCTGTGGCCACATGCCCCATACCCCCCCCCCCCC